TGTTTTACTCTCCCTCTTTTTTTTTTTTAAGGATGACATATATTTCAGCCTTTGGGCCTCCATTTCCAATCTAAAAAATAGAGATAACACCACCTTTTCTGCCTTCCTCAGAGTTATTAAAACAACAACAACAACAACAAATCACATGAGATAATAGATGTGAAACAGTTGTTAGCAGTCAATCCTTATTCAACAGAAAACTATTGCCAGGCAGGGCCCACGCGTGCCTGTAATCTCAGTGGCTCAGGAGGCTGAGGAGGGAGGATCGCGAGTTCAAAGCCAGCCTTGGCAAAAGTGAGGTGCTAGGCAACTCAGTGAAACCCTGTCTCTAAATAAAATACCAAAAAAAGGGGGGTGAGGTTGTGGCTCAGCAGTTGAGTGCTTGCCTCGCATGAGTGAGGCACACATAAAAATAAATAAACAAAATAAAGTTATTTGTTCATCTACAACTAAAAAAAATTAAAAAAAAAAAAAAACAAAACAGGGTGGGGCGTGTGTGGAGCAGGGACTGGAGATGTGGTTCAGTGGTTGAATGCCCCTGGGTTCAATACATGGTGCTGGGAAAAGAAAGAGAAAAAGAAAACTACTACTTTGACAATTTCCTTATACCTAATTATGAGGATGCAATTATGTCATTTTAAAGTCCAAGTGCATCTATATAATAATATGTAGAATTATTATATTGGTCATGTTTATTGAAAGCACTGAAGGAAAAACTAGGACAATTAAATTCACTAAATTATTTAAATAGATAAAATTTTAAACCATATAGTTATAAGTAAAAAGGAAATTATAAATTATTAAATATAGAATTTAAAAATCAGAATTATTAGATAGGAGACCTAACCCTTTTTTTGTAACAACTTTATTGACATATACCAGGCATGGTGGCGCACATCTGTAATCCCTGGGAGCCTGAGGCAGGAGGATCACAAGTTCAAAGCCAGCCTCAGCAACTTAGCAAAACCCTAAATAACTTAATGAGATTCTGCCTCTAAATAAAATATAAAAAAGGGCTGGGGATGAGGCTCAGTGGTTAAGCACCCCTGGGTTCAATCCCTGGTATCCCCCCCAAAAAAATACCCTTTATTTATATATTCATATGCTGTATAATTCACCCATTTAGAGTCTACAATTTAGTATTTCCCACATATTCAGAGTTACGCAACCATTTCCACGATCCATGTTAGAACATTTCATCACCCCCAGAAGAAGCCTTGCATTCATTAGCAGTCACCCTGTATTTATCCATCCCCACCAGTCCTAGGTAACCATTATTAATCTACCTTATTTCTGTAGATGTTACTGATTCAGACTTTTCATATAAATGGAATCATACATATATGGCCTTTTGACTAGCTTCTTTCACTTTTCATGTTTTCAGGCTTCATCCATGTGGTAGATCATATCTCAGAACAATTTCTTTTTATTGTCAAATAATATTCAATTGCATGGATAAAGCAGATTTATTTATCCATTTGTCAGTGATAGATATCTGGATTAGTTCTAATTTGGGATTGAATTTACCTAAATTTTATTTTAAAACATCATTTTATAAATCTTGGTTCAATATCTGGTACCCGTCCCTCCTCCCAAAAAATCTACTTAAAATAGCGTTTAAAACATAAAATAGTTTAGAATAAATTTAATAAGACACACAAGACCTTCACAATGAAGTTTATAAGATATTGTTGACAAAACTTTTAATATAATAAAGAGCTAAATAAATGAAAATATATACTATGTGCATAATTAGAAAACTTAATATTGTTAAAATGCCAGCTTTTTTCTAAATTAATGTAGAATCTGTACAATCCAAATTAAAAATCTCGGTATACTTTTACATAAACACTAACAAATTTTTTTCTGAAACATATCTGGAAATACAAAGACCTGGACTAGTCAAAATCATCTTGAAAAAGAAGAAAGTTAAAGCACTTACTTACTTTATCTGATTTCAGGACATAGAATAACCAATTCACAATAATCAAAGCAGTGTAATATATTTATAATATTAGACCAGTGAAATAGAATAGAGAGCCCAAAACAGACCCACAGCATCAGGTTATTTAGGTTATATTTTTGACAGAATATGTTTTATTTTGGAGAAAGACACTATGAGTTCCAATAAGAAAAAGAAAGCCTTTTTAACAAATGGTGCTTGAGCAACAGAGTAAACATAGGTAAAAATAAACTGTGACCATTATCCTATACTGAGCACAAAAATTAATTCAGGATGGATCATGGACCTCATAAGAAAGAACTTTGCGACATTGCAGTAGACAAATATTTCTTTTGGGAAGGGGATGACACAAAAATTACTAAGCATAAAATTAAAAAATGGGGCTGGTCATGTAACTCAGTGGTAGAGAGCTTGCTCAGCATGCATGAGAAACTGGGTTCGGTCCCTAGCACCACATGTAAATACAAAAGAAAAAAAATTTTTTTAAACATAAAGAAGGAAAGAAAGAAAAAAAGTAACAAAACTGGACTTTGTCAGTAATGAAATTTCTGCTTATTGAAAGCCATGATTAAGAAGATGAAAAGGCAAGCCATTGCATGCCTGTGATTCTAGCAACTCGGCAGGCTGAGGAAGGAGGATACAAGTTCAAAGCCAGTCTCTGCAACTCAGCAAGGTCCTAAGCTACTTAGCAAGATCCTGTTTCAAAATAAAAAATAAAAAGGGCTAGGGATGTGGCTCAATGATTAAGTACCCCTGGAATCAAACCCTTGGTACCAAAAAGAAAAAGAAAAAAAACAAGGCAAATCATGGACTGGGAGAAAATATTCATTTGGGGAAAAAAAAAAAAAAATATATATATATATACACACACACACACACACATACATACCAAAGGACTGCTACAGGTATATAATAAAAATACAAACAGCTTCATAAAAATATGACAAAATATTTAAGAGACACTTAACAAAAGAAAATAGATGAGCGACTAACATGCATGAAAAAGGGGCTTAGCATTATAGTTATCAGGAAAATGCAAATTAAAACAATAGGAGACCATTTCACATTTACTAGAATGGTTAAATTAAAAAGACTGATAACAGCAAATGTTGACAAAGGGTGTGGAGCAAGTAGAACTCTCTTAACATTGCTGGTAAGAGTATATAATAGTGCAACCACTTTGGAAATTTGGCAGTTTTTATAAAGTTAAATATAACTCTACCTTATCATCCTACAAAGCCACTCTTAGTAATGACTTTGTCTACAAAGACACTTGTGTAAGAATGTTTATAGTAGCTTTATTTATTATAACATTAAAAAACTGGAAGCAATCCAAATATCAAACAAAAGAATGAACAAGTCAAGTGTGGTAGTACATGCCTGTAATCCCAGCTATTAGGTAACTGAGTAAGGAGGATTGCAAGTTCAGGCTAGCCTGAGCAATTTAGTGTGATCCTGTCTCAATTTTTTGTCATCACAGTGACTTGGGTGGCTGAGACAGGAGGATCATAAGTTCAAGATCAGCCTTGGCATGAGAATTCATACCCCATTTGAGTCAAATGTATGATATGTCAAGATCATTGTATTGTCTCGAGCAACTAATAAAAAATAAAAATTAAAAAAAAAAGAAAAGAAAAAATAAAAGATCAGCCTTGGCAACTTAGTGAGACCTGGCTTATAAATAGATAGATAGATAGATAAAGGACTAGAGATGTAACTTAGTGTAAAACTCTCCTGGGTTCAGTTGCCAGTAATGCAAAATAAGTAAGTAAGCAAATAATAAAATAGGACTGTATGTAGCTCAGTGATAGAGTATCCCTGGATTCAATCCCCAGCAGTTAAAAAAAAATGCACTACATATATATATGAATATATATGTATATATACACACATATGTATGTGTGTATGTATATATACATGTGTGTATACACATACATACATTGCAGAATAGGTCATGGTGATAAAAGTCAAAGTAATAATTGAGGGAAGTAGGGATTGTCTGGAAGGAAAGTTTCTGGAGTCATGAGAATGTTCTATATCTTGATGGGGGTATTGGTTATCCTGGGATCAGTTACATAAGCATATACATTTATCAAAACTCATTAAATGGCCTGGGGATGTAATTCATGTAGAGTAGTTGCCTAGCATATGCAAGGCCCTGGGTTTGATCTCCAGCATCATAAAAAGCAAAAAACAAAATCTTATGAAGTTATAAGGTAAATTTCATTGTATATAAATTTTGCCTCCATAAAAGAAAAAGGTTTACATTGTTGAAATTATTACTTCTGTCGTCAGTACCACATATACTATTTCAAACACACATCTGTACAACTTAAAGCTGCATATTTAATTTTTTTTTCAGCAAACACATACTGTGGTTTAACTATTTAACAGTTGCTAGGGATATGAAGATGAGTAGTGGGAAGTGTTTGGGTTCAAAGAGCTCATCATCTTGTAGGAGCCATAAAAACATAAGAGATAAGTGTCAGTGCATAAATGGGCTGCTGAGTGTCAGGGAAGTGCAAAGAAAGGAGGAAGTGATTCCAGTTTGTTGGGGTTAGAGAGATTGGGCCCAAAAGTGAATAAACTTTTGCAAGGGAAGAAAGACTTTTTGGGTAAAGAGAATCTCAGGAACTGCTATGTGGAAACAAGAGCCTGCATGATGTGTTTGCAGAATTTTAAGTGGCCCAGAGTGACTATAGTGATTGATGGTGATGTAGTGATGGAGGATAATGTCCTTTAATTATGAAACCAGACTGTACAGTCTTAAATGTCATACTAAGGAGTTTAAATTTATTGGCAGTGAGGGACCACTGAAGGCTTTTAGACAGGAGTGATATCAGTTCTATTCCTGTGTTTTAGAAGAGAATATCTGGTGGTAGCAAAGAATTATTAAACTTGGGGAGAGATTAGAGGCAGAATTAACAGAAATGGATTATCATAATCCCATAGTCATTTTTATAATACTTATCATGAGAACTTTATGATTTAACTTTTATATTTAGCTATTTTTCTTTTTCTTTCAAATTAACGACAGGAATCCAGAAACATTTTGGACCACCACAGGAATGTTTCCCCAGGAGTTCATTATATGTTTTCACAAACATGTAAAGGTTGAAAAACTTATAATCCAAAGTTACTTAGGTAAGCAAATCATACATTAATTTTCACCATCCTTTAATTTTTCCATAAGCAGAGGACATATATGTAAACTTTTGGCAAAACCCTAGTTTTTCTTCACAGTGTGGAATCCAGTTTTATTGTTGGAATGGGAGGGTAGGGATTCTGGGTTAACTGCCTTCAGCACAACTAACCTCTTTAAATTGCAAATTTGAAACCCTTCCAAAGCACATAATAATTTCCATGCAATTTACGACATGAAAGTCTTTGGCAAAAGACCCTATTATGAACATAAGAAGCTGACTTGCCAGAATGCTAGTTTCCATGACATCTTTTTTCCCAAGATTCCTTCATCCTGGAGTTCTCTATCAAATTCTTGCTGAAAATTCAATAACCCTGATTTTTTCACATTGAATGGTGTTGATTCTTCTATTAATAATGACATTTTCTGGGAATTTAGGAACAGAATCTCCCATTGAAACATTCTTCTAATCCTGTGTGTTTATTTAGGGATAGAGTATATCAGACAAAATCATGGCAGGAAACAAAACACATCCCAGATGTTTCAAATAAGAGGTTTTATTGATGGGTCCACTTATGAAAGTATGTCCTGGGCTAAGGGAATAAACAAGGGATGATGAGGCCCTCAGAAACTAGCTACAGCAGGAGACCATTATTTCCCTGGGACAAGGCAAGGAGATAATGTTATCTCACCCCAGTGAGAGCCAGATCCTGCCCAGCAGGAGCTATGATCATGAAGGGACTTGACTGTTGTCCAACACCTGACACCAAAGCAGAGAGGAAGTGGAGAGAGAATAGCCTGATCTTACTTCTTACAGCCCTTTGTCCACTCCTGGTGCCTCCACTGGCCAACTCCACTCAGAAGCCAATGGGTAAGTCCAGGAGACTAGTCCACAGGGGTCAGCCATTCAAGGCACAGGACAAGATAGAGAAGAGGAGGAATGGATCTAGAGTGGCAGAGACTAGGTGAAGACAGGGAAGGGAACACAGTGCAGAAGGAAAATGCATGGCTCAGTCTTTCCTCTGCCATTAATTGCATAGGCTCTGGAGTCAGACAGTCCTTGAGGTTGAATTTCAGTTCTGCTCCTTACTTGTTCTTTCTCATTAAACACCTTACCTTGCTTCCCTAAGCTTACATCCTCATCAGTAGAATAGATTAGTAATACTTTTCCCTTAAGACTGTAGTCACAAGACAATAAAAAATTGCCTGTACTCATAATAGGTTCTTCATAAATGTTTATGACCAAGACCACCAAATGTTATCATCAATATATAAAATAATTCTGGATGATGATCAAATTCAAAACAGTTCCACTAGCTTTATGTTTTACAGTTATAAACATTATAAGATCACCATGACACAGCCCAGTTCTGTGGCACTGAGGTGCACGCCTGTATGCCAGAGACTCGGGGAAGGCAGGGGGACAGAAGCAGGAGTAGCACAAGTTCAAGGACAGCCTCAGAAACGGTTTCAAGATAAAAAAAAAAAAAAAAAGGGTTAGAGATATGGCTCAGTAGTAGAGTAGCCTTAGGTTCAATCCCCAGTACTATTAAAAAAAAAAAAAGGAAAGACCACATTTTACCGTGGGGATATATAGAAAAACAGAATGGATAACTTCCAGAACATGGTATTTCTGATCCTAATACTCTAGTTCTACCAATGCATGTCAGTCTCTGGCAGAGGGAAAAAGAAATATAGAGAAAACAACATAGAGTCAGAAAGGTAATTAACATTTTGTTTATTTACAATGTCAGTGCGGACCTTGAAGATTGAAAAGACCAAATCTAAAGAGCCTGTCGATTTTGAGCAATGGATTGAAAGGGGTATGTGCTTGTTTACCAGCATTGTTCTGAACACAAGAGAGTAGATAATTGTCCTCTGACTCTACTTTTCCACTCCAACTGCATTTTGCTGAATAATAGGTGACCATAATGATTGTTTTATTTATTTTTTATGGGATTATGGGTCATTTCTATTTTCATTTTTATTTTTTTCCATATGACTTTGTTGATTCTTGTACACAATTAAGACCGAAAAACCTGGCTTGTTATATAACAATGAATTTTTCTGAATTTCAGAATCCTTATCAGAAAAAAGAGAGAGGATACCAATCATTTAAAGGCTTTTGTGAACTAGTGGTTGGCATATTAAAGTTGAACAATAAATATCATCAACAAAATCGGTAGCCTCCAATTAAACAAAAACATTGCCTTCATGTGCTATCTCTTTTCCTTTCCCAAATACTATGAGAATAATAATAAAGGAATAAAATGAAGCAAATTTACAAGAACAACAACAAAAAAATTAAACAAAACTCAGGAAACTAAAGCAAATGTAAGATGTATATTTTAATAGAGGAGAAAGCAAATAACTTTTTTTTTTTTTTTTTTTAGAGAGAGAGAGAGAATTTTTTAATATTTATTTTTTAGTTTTTCAGCAGACACAACATCTTTGTTTCTGTATGTGGTGCTGAGGATCGAACCCAGGCCGCACACATGCCAGGCGATCGCGCTACTGCTTGAGCCACATCCCCAGCCCCCCTGTTGTTCTTTTTGAAGTGTACCAGTCAGAAAATGCACACAGTTTTCAAATGATTTAGTCAAATGTAACAAAAGACAGTCAAAGATTACTAGCCAGTATCGTCTCAAAATAAATATAAAAAAAAGTGGTAAAGCACACCTGGGTTCAATCTCTGGCACCAAAAAAAAAAAAAAAAAAACGAGGGAGAGAGATGGATAATCACGTATTTAGAGGTGGAATGTCATGATATCTTAGGCTAACTTTAAAATAATGTAACAAAAATAATGTAGGGCTGGGACTGTGGCTCAGTGGTAGAGTGCTTACCTCACATGTGTGAGGCACTGGATTTGATCCCCGGCACCACATAAAAATAAATAAATAAAATAAAGATATTGGGGGGGGGCTGGAGTTTTGGCTCAGTGGTAGAGCACTTGCCTGACGTGTGCGGTCCTGGGTTCTATCCTCAGCACTGCATATAAATACATCAACAATAAAAGATCCATTTAAAACTAAAAAATAAAAATTTTTTAAAAATTATTATGTTCATCTACAACTAAAAAAATTTTTTTAAATTAAGTCAATAATGCTGAAATGTTAGTAATTAAAAAATCTAGATAGTAGGTATATATAGCAAATATTATTTTCTCTCTTCATTTCATTTTGAGATTTTCCAGTTTTTCATAACTGAAAAAAAAAGAAGCTAAGCAAATAAAGAAGGGATTATCAGGGGCTGGGGTTGCAGCTCAGCGGTAGAGCACTTGCCTAGCACGTGTGAGACCCTGGGTTCAATCTTCAGCACCACATAAAAATAAATAAATAAAACAAAGGTACTGTGTCCAACTCAACTAAAAAATAAATATTTTTTTAAAAAGAAGGGGTTGTAATTAATTTTTAATGGAGATGTATAAGAAAGAAAATGTGATCATAATGTATTACTTATCTCAGTACTCAGTAACATTTATATGGATATAATAATATAACTATCAAATATTGATTTCAAAACTGAGGGGATGGGAGGAGGTAGAAGTTGCAGCAGGAAGAAGAAAGGATTCTTGGTTTAAGAAACCTAAATTTTCACTGACTATAATGTAAAGTCAATTAAAAAAATTGATATAAAAAGAAAGGGAATATAATCATAATCCAGGAAGAACAGCTTAAAGAGTTGAAAACATTACTGCTAGGGAGTATGATTGGAAGAGAATGAGGGCAAATGGAGGGGGGTGATTTACAGTTTTTCATCAAGAAGCAGAAGTCACACATAATTTTTCTTCCTAGAGACTGCCCTCATACTCTGTGTCTTTTAAAATTACATACATTAATTATTTTGATAGAAATAAAATTAATGCCAGTAAATATTACTATATCAATTAAGTTGTCAATGTTTCAAAAAAAAATGTTTGATGTGATTAACTCATGACCAAATAAATAATCTATCCTATTATACAAGTAAAGGTTTTTTTATACTTGAATACCAGAAAAGATCACTTCACCAGCCTCATAATTCTACATCATAGTGAGAATTTACTCTGAGCAACGAAGCTCTAGTTGTTATCCCTGAGTGTGATGAAATAATTCTTGTCAGGAGACATTTTCACATTTTATCTGGTCCTTGCTTTACATTCCTTTATAATAAATTTACATTTGTGTTATCTTTTGTTTATACTCCCTAGAGATATTTTATAGCTCATATAGTTTTTTAAACTTTTATATCAAACGTCTCTATTTTTATATCAGATTTCAACACCCAAGCACTGACAATTCCTTTAAATTCAATTTTAACTTATGGTTTACAGGATAATCATATTTTTAATATATTTTTTAGATGTTGATGAACCTTTATTTGTTTTGTGTGATGCTGAGAAACAAACCCAGTGCCTCACACATGCTAGGCAAGCGCTCTACCACTGAGCCACAACCCCAGCCCAAGATAATCATATTTTGTTGTACATAAATTTCAGGAGTTATCCTTATATATTTTGAACCTTAACTCATTTCTGTTAAATTTATTTTTTAGATTTTGTACACACAGAGGGGCAGCTTCAAAATGAAGAAATTTTGGTAAGTGAATATACTTTGTTTAGATAAATATCATCTTTAGTAAGCACAATGTTTTTAATTTTTAAATCTATCTCCCTAGTCCTAGAATTAATAAATATCCTTATGGTATTATAGGTTCTGTACCTCATCAACCATTAGAGAGGTTATTCTCAACAGTATTATAAGCTAAATATATTATAAGGAAGGGTGAAAGCAAAGATAAAGCAGAATTTTTTTTTGTTTTATTCTGCTCATTTATTTATTTGGAAGTATTTGATAGTTCTACTTGGCTTTCTTTCATGTGATTCTGTAGGCCATTTAGAACAGGAATCAAAAAAAGGTTGAGATGTCAAAACTGGATGTTAATTTAAGCATGAAAGGACAAGGGAGATTCAGATAAAAGGAACTGGAGCATAGGATCAGCAACAAATAAGCCAAAGAGAGATGAAGTGGAAAGAGAACCAGTATTTTTCAACAACATTCCACTGGGCTTTGCTTGTCAAGTGGAATGAATGCCCTTTGATGAGGGAACTGCTGCCTCGTCAGGAGTTCCTGTGTTCCTGCTAGGTTTTCAGGCCTTGGTTTAGACAAACACAAAAGTAAAACAACCGAATGTGTATTTTTTTAGATGGTAGTATTTGTTTAACTAAGGTTTGTTTAAATAAGGTTTCTCTAAAGGTACCTTATCCATTAAGTTTATGTCTTCATATCTTGCTAGGAGCTGCTATGAAATTGAGATTCTGTGGGAAGTTTTTGAATACATTAGTCTCTTTCTTCCACCAAAATTGGCCTGATAATTGAGAAGGTGGAGGAGAGGACGACAAAAATGATTATTTTTGCTGAATTTTACCTTCCTGTTCTCCCTCTTTACCTAGTGGGTTAAGATTAGTGAGCCCTTGCTGTCTTGATAGTTTGTTTCTGGATTCATTGTAGATTAGGGCAGGATTATAGAAAATTCAGAAAGTAGTAAGGGGGAATTAGAGGCTGGAAATTACCCATAATTTTATTACTCTGTCACAAGAGATTTACTACACTTATTCTCTTCTAGTTGTTGACCATATGCATCACATAGTTATAATAATATTGTACAATTTTGTTTTATCTTTTTAACTTAATGTTATTTCACAAGCTTCATAATTTCAATTTTAAGATAACATTTGCTACTTGCATTCATTTAAACTAATTTTCTTTTTTCTCCTGCTGTCATTACAAGTAATATACAGGAGACATTTTATACATGTTCTTGCTATCATGACCTTCACCTTTTTGATTATTTTCTAAGATTAAATTTCATGGAATGGAATTACTAGGTATAAGGGTACAAACATTTTTATAGCTTTTTACATATTTGCCAAAGTGCTTTCCAGAAAATCTATTCAAATATAAAAGTATAGTTATGCTATAGGGTAGTATATTCTGAGGCATCATTAACCAAGGGAAATCTGTTTTCATGAAGACTACTTTCAAAACTGCTACACCCCAGAACAACCGTTATATGTGGCTGGGTTACCTTCTGAATATTATATCTTGCATATTGTTATGTATTTAGAATATCACTCTTGCATCATACCCTTTCTTCTGCTGTTTGTTAACAATTACTAAAAGTATCCATATTGATTTTTCTTCTACAGGTTCATGATGGCTACTGTACTTACTTGAGATTCATAATTACAAAAGCCTTTGATCATTTTATATCTGTGCATTGTGTTTCTGCAGAGGGACTAGTAGTCTCAAATCATTCTTAGTAATTATAATAAAATACTCTTGCATGATTTTTAACAGTGTATTTATTTAAACATGAAATTGTCATTAGTAGTCTTTATTAAAAGATGTGTATCAGTCTGCTTAAGTTTTTATATTTTTTCAATATTTTGGGCAAAAACATTCTGGTTTCGTTAATCAGCAGTGCTGACCACCATGGAGGATATGAGGAAGCCTTGGTTTCAATATATAGCTTAATCAAGGAAATGACTATACATGAAAATTTAACTGATAATACAGTATGTCCCCACAGCATCTAATATAATACCTATCAGATCTCAATGCATTAATTTTTTAATTTATTGATTGATGCAAAGAGCTGAGCAATATAGATAGTAAACAATGTAAGAGTTTAAAGAAAAAAAAGTATTTATGGGAAAGTTTGATTGAGGCCATGGGACCTGAACTAGGCCCTGTAAAATGAGTTGTAATTTTGATTTTCAGTTTTTGAAATTTTGTTCTGATTTGAAAACCTTATAGAAGAGTTAGGAAGCATAACCATATTTCCCGATTATTCACATTATTTTATATTTTTTGATATTTTGAGGAAACAAGAAGAAAGTAGGACACACTGGTAAAAGACTTCTCTGAGTATATCTTTGTGTATGTGTGTGTGTGTGTGTGTGTGTGTGTGTGTTGCTGGGGATCAAACCCAGGGCCTCATGCATGGCAGGCAAAAGCTCTATCACTGGGTTACACCCCCAGCCCCATGGATATATCAATAGTTTTGACTTGAAACATAAATAACTTATATAGCCAAAAATTAAATTAAAAAGCAGTTTCAAAATAAAAGCAAACAGGAATTCATGAACCTAACTTTATTACAAGTTGGTAAAATAAACATACTGGAAAAGATGATTATTTTAAGTGATAGTATTTTGTCTGTGTAGTCTGCATTAGTTTTTTAGTGCTACTATAACAAAGTACCACAAACTTGGTGATTTTAAATTTTAAACCAAAGAAACTTATTTTCTCATAATTCTGAAGTCTAGAAGTCCAAAATCAAGGTGTTGACAGGGTTAGTTGCTACTAGGTGTTATAAGGGAGGCTCTGTTCCATGACTTTTCTTAGTCTCTGGTGTTGCCGGCAACCCTTGGCATATGGCACCATAGTGCCAGTCTTTACCTTCAGTGTCACATGGCATTCTGTGTATCTTCACATGTTTTTTCCTCTGGATGACTTTTCCATGTGTCTTGTCTTATCACCACACCAGTCATATTGAGTCATATTAAGGGCTCACCATACCCCAGTATGACCTCAGCTTTATTGTCTACATCTATAGTGACCTCATTTTCAAGTAAGATCATGTTCACAGGTTCCAGGTATTAAAACTTCAAATATGTTTTGGGGGGACACAGTTCAACTCACAAAGCAGTGCATTTGTAATGCTTAATTTTACTGATCAATTTGGTTGGGCTATGTTGACCAGATATTTGTCCAACATTATTCTGGACGTTGCTGTGAAGGTGTTTTTTATATAAGATAAACATTTAAATTGGTGGACTTTGAATAAAGCAGGTCACTTTTCTCCATAATGTGGCAGCCTTGTCAAATCATTTAAAAGCCTTAACAGAATAAAAACTGACTTCCCTTGGCCAAGAAGGAATTCTTCCAGATATGAAGAATTGAACTTCAGAATTGAACTGCATGCAGCATTGGTTCTTCCCTGGGTCTCCAGATGGTAAGTCTCCCCTGCAGATTTTGGATTTGCTGGCTTCCAAGAGCCAAAGCCTTAAAATTCTTTCTATATATACGCATCCAGGCTGGATCAGGTGATATTCCTAAAAGCTGAGACTACGGGCATTAATTTTTTATTTTTAATTTTAGTTGTAGATGGACACAATATTTTATTTTTTATTTTTTTGTGGTGCTGAGAATGAAACGTAGTACCTCACATGTGCAAGGCAGGCCTGAGCTACAACCCCAGTCCTTTCAGGCATTTTTTTTTTTTTTAATTCTTTCTTTCTTTCTTTATTTTTAGTCATACATGACAACAGAATGAATTTTGACATATAGTACATACATGGAATGTACATACATCAATCATATTGTCAATTCTATTCTGCTGCCCTTTCAGGCATTTTTTGATAAAAACAAATAGAACTACAAAAAGATCTTAGATTTCATTTCATTATTGGTAGTAATATTATACTTTGAAACTGTTTTAATATTCTGTAAGTTATAGGATAGTGCAAATTAGTTATTATATTAATGTGGTTAAGAATCAATATTATATTTTTTAGATAAAGAAATACAGGTATAAAATCAAATAAATTGAGTAAATTCCTCTATGGTTTAATTTTAATTGAAGTAGCAGCATAAACTCCCCCCACCTTTTTTAAAGAATACATATTTCTTTTTTTTTTAAAGAGAGAGAGAGAGAGAATTTTAATATTTATTTATTTATTTTTTAGTTTTCGGTGGACACAACATCTTTGTATGTGTTGCTGAGGATCGAACCCGGGCCGCACGCATGCCAGGCAAGCGCGCGACAGCTTAAGCCACATCCCCAACCCAAGAATACATATTTCTTTTATTCCTTCCTTTGTGTGTGTGGGGGGGGGGGAGGGGGAGGTACTAGGGATTGAACCCAGGGCCTCACATATGCCAGTCAAGCACTCTACCACAAAGATACATCCCCAGCCCTTATTAAAGATTTAATTTTCAGACAGGATCTTGCTACATTTCCCAGGCTGGCCTTGCACTTGGAATCCTCTCGTCTTAGCCTCTTAAGTAGTTGGGATTATAGGAGTGCACCACTGTGCCCTGCTAGGAATACATATTTCTTAAGTCTGTCTACTAAAGTCTGTTATTGTCTAGAGGCAATGGCATTCAAATAGCATTGATCACACCAACTACCCAGATTGTGATCTCAAAATACCTTTCCCATTAATTAGATCCAAGGCTCTTTGGAGGAATGGCTAGCTTGTGGAGAAATACACAAAATGAGCTTGGGAAATTTCATTATGCCTTAAAGTAACAACTAATGGATCATGTCAAAAGGCTACAGGAACCAAGTGGACACGGTAGTGCATGCCTGTAATCTCAGTTACTTAGAAGGCCAAAACAGGCGGATTACAAGTTCAAGGCCAGCCTTTGCAACTTTATTTTGAGACCTTATCTCAAAAACTAAACAAGAGGGATGTAGCTCATTGGTAGAATGTCCCTGGGTTCTATTCCCAATACTGCCTCCCCCAAAAAAAATAAAAAGAAAAAAAGATACAGAAGCCAACATGTGAGCCAAAACTGGAGTGGTTTGGATAGAAAAAAAAAAGCATCTGCAGTTTATTGAAACCATATCTAATATTTTTTAAAAATCGATTCATATTGATATGAGAACAAAAAAATAAATAAATGAACAAAACTAAACCCTCATTGAGCTCCATGAGAAGTAACTAGGGCACAAATTTTTCCTTTGAAACTTAAAATTCAAAAGAAAGAATTAGGAATTTATCTTGTACAAACTATTTAAGGGTTATTAATTATCACTAGTAGATAAGAGAAAGTTATTTGCAGAAAAAATCCTGCTAATTAGTGTGGATGGTATAATAGAATTAGAAAATCATTAACTTGGGTGCCATTAATTGTTGATATAGGCAGTAATAATCAGTAGATGAAACCTTATTTGAAAAGTTTATGGGGAACTTTACAATGCAGGGATCAGGTTGGATCTACTGATCTACTAAAATGGATTAACTAGTATATTAGTTAGCTTGTGTTCTGTTATCAACCACCCTCAAATTTTTTGACTTAAAAGGAACAATTTCATTTGCTCACAGTTCTGTGGATCTACTGGCAGATTTTCTTGTTTGTGCTGCTTGACTGATCTGTGTGGTCAGGAAGTCTAGATAATGCAGGATGGTTGGTCTAGGTGGACTTATCTGTAACTGTTCATTTCTTGCTCTGAGTAGTTTCTCACCTTCCAGTAATCTAGCCCAGGTCTCTTCAGATGATGTCTCAGTATTCTAAGAAGTAGCAAGAGGGGAAGGTCCCAAGGTACACATACTTTTTTTTGGTACCGGGGATTGAACTCAGGGGCACTTGATCACTGAGCCATATCCCCAGCCCTATTTTGTGTTTTATTTAGAGACAGGGTCTCACTGAGTTGCTTAGCACCTTGCTTTTTGCTGAGGCTGGCTTTGAACTCAGGATCCTCCTGCCTCAACCTCCAAGCATGCACCACTATGCTTGGCAGTACACATACTTTTTGAATCTCTGACTGCATCGGATTCACTCTTGTTCTGATTTCCAAATCATGTCACATGATCAAAGCCAGTGTCAAAGTGAGAGATCTACCCAAGGGCATGAATTCAAGGAGGGGCTGTGGAGAAAGGGCCTGTTACTGCTGCAATCTGTTTCAACACTGCATGTCTTCTGCTGTGATGCTGTGTGAAGCACACAGACCAACCTACGATGTTCTCTTGTCAAATCAAGGAAAATGACACCACAAGGGAGCAAATAGACTAGTAGATGTTAGTGCAGCTCACTGAAATGTTCACATCTGTAATTTCCATGCACATGGTAAGATATACTTCCTGGATTTCTTTTTATGATCAGTTCTGGCCAATGAGATAAAGAATAATTGACTACCAGTCTGAGCATTTAATTGCCTAAAAGAGACTCTTTAGAGCTCTTTTCTTCTGCTACTAAGATAACCAGCAATGTTTTGCACTGTAATTACTTCATTAGTCTGGTTCTGGGTGTGAGATTGATGATTAAATGGTAGCAGAACTCCCCCTCAATCTAAGATGGATATATAGGAGTGAGAAATAGTTTCATTGTTTTAAGCCAATGAGATGCTGGAGTTTCTGGGTCCCACAGTGTAACCCAGCTTATCCTATGATATACAAGCTAATCTAGACTGTAGCTTATCCTATAGGACAATCCATCTGGTTTCTTCCAACAAGTTGCTGGCATGAAAAATGTTCATTGAGGAAGGGGCTCCACTCTGGCTTCCTAAGACCTAAGAGCTCCCTATAACCACATGCTAGACATGGGTCTTTTCTTTTTTTT